TGGAGATTTTGTTTGTCTTCCCCGGCGGGGCAGGGAAGCGGGGTCTGGTTTCGATGCTATCGGGGTCTGGTTTCGATGCTCTCGGGGCCGGGGGGCCGGGGCTGCTGTGCCACACGGACAAAGAGCCGTTCTTCGTGATCCGGTCATTCCTCCCCCCACCTCCCCTCATCCCGGTGTTTAAACAAGGGCTTTAAAGCGAGGGAGGAGAAGCTGCCAGACAGCGCCTGTGCTGTTCCCCCACACCCTCATTTATGCGTTTCTAGGCAGGTGGAAAGTGACACCGAGAGCTTTGGGACTGAGGTGTAATTCCTTGCACGTGGCTTCAGCCGTGGCTGGCACAGCTCCTTGGGCTTTGTTGTGTCTTAGCACCTTGGTGGCCACTGCCAGTACCTGTGGTCACCTCTGGTCACCCTTCTGGTGTGTCCGTGGTGGATCTGTCACGATTTCCATGATGGATAGAGAGCACCACGCTGATGCTGCTCTCCCCAGACACCATCTCCTGGAACTCAGGTCATCTTAGTGGTTGGTCTGAGGGCCATTCCCTGCTGTCTCTGGTTATTAGGGTTATATTGGCTGTATCTGATAATTTTCTTGCTTGGGGCACACACTCATCTCTTATGGTGAAGCACCTGCACAAGGCACCTGGCACAGGAGCTGTTGCTTGTGAGCATTATTTGCAATATATGGGTGTTCTTAAGGATTTTTGGGGGTGGGACCAGTGTCCTTGGGGGTGGGACCAGTGTCCTTGCAGCTGTGGGGAAGGTCGGGCTGGGCTGCCCAGAGGAGTGGGAGGGTTTTGTTCTGTTATTGCATTAATGAACATAGAGTTCAGCCCAGCTGCCCCTGGGGAGTGTGAAGCTGCTCTGTCCAGCTCCCAGTCCTCTCTGCTAACCCCAGTGATGTTCTCTCTCCTCCAGACAATCATGGAACAGTTCAATCCCAGCCTCAGGAATTTCATTTCTATGGGGAAGACCTATGAAAAAGCCTTAGCAAGTAAGTGGAGCTGCAGTGCTGATGCATTTGGTCCTGAAACGGGGGGGGCTGGGGAGGGTCTGTCTGGAGAGCATGGCCTCAGAAGGGGGAAAGCTGGAAAACCAGCTTGGGATGCTCTTTTTCCCTGGGAGAGTGATGGGAGGAAATAGGGAGGTGGTTCTTGGACCTCAATGCAAAGCTCATCATGTTAGGGTGGGCAAGGCAGGTGTGTGGAGAGGATTAGAGTGACAAAATGTTGGGTGGCAAGAGGGCAAACACATCTCCAACCTGTTGAGCTTTAAACATTGCTTCAAAATATTTAGAACTAAGCTTTTAAGTTCTGTTTAAAGGTTTTATTGAAACGTTCAGAAGAATGCACTGCAAGGAAAAAAACCCCTAAGTATTGGTGGTGGCTCTTGATTGGAAATGCAGGGTCTTATGGGGGCTGTTAGGGAGCTGTGGATTTAATTGATCAAAACCAAAATATTAACTGATTAAAAAAACCCCAACAACACTATTTTGACTTAAAATGCCTTTGCATGCTGCCCGGGCCCTGGGTTTTAAGGATGTTTGAGGCTTTGTTCCACCCCAGAGGCAGCAGATTCCTTTTGGGAAGGGCTCTGCTCACTTCGGAGCTGCCCTGCACGGCTCTTGGATTTTATTTTTGTAATTGGTTCAGGGAAGATGCCCGCGGGGCAGGAGCTGTCACAGTGCTCAGCCGGTGGAGAAAAGTATTTTCGGTGTCTGATGTTGTTAAACGCCGGTGTGTGAAATCCGACCTGTGGGAGGGATCGGTGCCTGCAGCAAACCCGAATTCCCACAAGTCAGCTGAGGTCCCTGGGTGTTTGGGTGAAGGAGCTTTAAAGCCGCAGCCCCCCCGGGTACCCGGGTGCTCGCTGCCTTCCTGCCAGTTCTCACCCTCGTTTCTAATTAGGTTTTAATGGATCAACTGGCCATAATGCGGGCAGCTCTCGTCTGTCCTGGTCCCCTGAGCAGGGGCCGTGGGCTGTGATCCGTGGGCATGGGGCACTTCACCCCCCCAAGCAGCTATCCCGAAGGATTTCCAGCTATCCCAAGGGATGCCAGTGAGGCTGGGATCTGGGGGTGCTTCCCCTGCCCTGTCCCTGCTGGGGCTCCAGGCAGGTCTGGCAGTGGGGGAAGAGGTTGCACTTGGAACCACATTTTTAATTTCTTCTTTTAAAATGTTATTCTGATAATGCAATTTTTAATTACCCGGGTGGTGGAGTTGGTTTATTAAATGCCATTTTATCACAGCTTAAGCTGGGCACGTGGTAACTGCAGCGTTTTGTGGGTCACCAGTATAATCACTTGTTTTCTGTTTTTCTCACTTCCCTGCTGTGAATAAGCTTTGAAGCCCCAGATCTTCCTGTAATTTTTAAAATTGTCTTTGGTCATCCTTCACTTTGGATCTTGGGGCATCTGAAGGAAGTGTTTTAATCAGTAAATCGTGCTGGAAGCAGCTTCAGCACAGAATTTGCTGGTGTGGAGCTAAAGCTGTACAACATGTTCTGGTGATTAGAGGAAACCCCCTGCTTATCTGATTAAAGTGGAGTGTGTAGCTGGAATGTCAACAAACAAGACTGAACTATAATGAAAGTCTGTGATATTCAATTATTCCACAGTGATTTTTCTGAGCAGCATTAAGCAGGCTGATGGTTACACTGGAATGAAAACCACCAAGTTCCTGCACGTACCTTTTTTTCCTCCTGAATAGCCCTGAAACCTTGCTGCTCCAGCTTTCTTCTTTCTCCACTCATTTTTCTTCTGTTTGTTTTTCAGTCCCTCTCCCATGGTGTTAAGCCCTTTGGAGTAATGTCTGTTTTAATGTCTAGAATCTATTCAGTGCCACACAAGCTCTAATAGCCACTAATGAGGATATAACCCATGGTTTTTGATGCTTCTAGGTATGACCTACGCAGCAAAAGGATACTTTGATGCTCTGGTTAAGATGGGAGAGTTGGCTAGTGAAAGCCAAGGATCTAAAGAATTGGGTAAGTCACCAATTTACTACTAAATGGAGTCACTGGTGCTGAGCACAGGGATGAAACCAGGTTTTTGGTGTTCATGGGCATAACAAGCTCAATGTGGAGCTGATTCTGCCTTGCGAGTGGCCAGAGTGTCTCTGAATTTCCTGATAATGTAGCTTAATAAAAAAACCCAAGCTTGCTGTTCTGAGTGATGGGATTTAGGGACACAATGAGCTCGTGGTGTCTGCAGAGAGGGGCTGTGCTGGGGTTTTTGTCTTGCCTTGCCAGGGGCATCTCCCTGGGATGCTGCAGCCTCTCAACACACCTCATGGAGCTGAGGTGGGTTTTGGCTTCATTGCCTTTGGAGTTCCTGGTGAACTTCTCCTCTGGGTCTGGCTCACTGGATGGCAGTGCTGGGAGGTGGCAAACTGTCCTCGTTAATGGGATCTCTCCGAGGAGGTCAAATAACAGGGAAGAGGTTGAGCTGAAATTACTCAAGGCTGATGAAGCAAGGGGCAAGCAGGGCTTTGCTGCCTTGTGTTTAGTATCTTCCCCCAGACCCAGGCTGCTCCAGCCCTGGCTGGGCTGTGCACAGCTCCCTGCCTGCCTTGGAATGGTGTTGGGAAGCACCAAGTGTCTATGGAAACAGATTCTATCGCTTGGACTAAAGCTGCTGTAGCAATCTGCTTCTGCTTAATAAATAAAACAGAAGAGCCTTGTGTGCGGCGACTGAGATTGCAGAGGCTCTGCAGACCTTGCTGGGGGCTTTCTCTTCTGCCTCTTTGGGGTGAAAGATGCAGCAGCTTCTTCCTTCAAGAAGCCAAAGCTTGGGAAAACATTATCAGAGGCAGCTCAGCCATACAAGGGCAGGAGCTTGGGGGCTGCAGCCCCTGCCTGCCCTTCAGAGCATCTCCAGGCTTTGTGCTTAAAACCCAGCTTTGGTGTCTTGTGATGGTCTTGGCTCCTCACCCAAGGGCAGATGTTTGACCACAGGCATCCTTGGTGCCCTCCTGCAATCTCCTGAAGTGCATTTGGTGTGTGGCTGGAGCATTTTTAATGTTGGGTTTTTTTTTTAATTTAAAGTTTCCGAATCACTGCACCTTCCACCCTCAGTGTGAGCGCATCCCAGGGAGGATCCTGGCAGCTCCTGCTCCTTGGCCCTCTTGTGCTGTTGATCTTGCAGCTACTTATTGTGGCAGCTGCTCCCTGCAGAAGAAAGTTGAGATCAAATTTTCTGGCTGCAGTTTGCTGGAGCTGATAACAGCCAGGGACACAACCCCCTCCCGGCAGGCTGTGTAAACAGGGGCTGAAAAAGGCTTTAGCTGGGGGCTGTGCTCCCAAAGGTACAGCTTTTCTTGGGAACACCTTCACCTTATCAGTCCCTGTGCTGTGATTGCTGATAGTGCCGGAAAGGAGAGCTGGGGTCTGGGTTGTTTCACACCCTACTGGGGGCGGCAGCAAATGGGCATGTTCATCACTGCCATTTGTATGAATGTGCCCCCCCTGTTCCTCCCCTGTGTGGGGAGTTTCTTCCTGGACAGGGAAAGCTTTTCTGAGATGCCAGGGAGGGCTCTGGGATGCTCTGTTTGGGACTGCAGCTCATGTTTGTTTCCAGCCCCCTCTGCTCTTGTGTCTCTGCTCCCCAGCTGCTGAGCACCTTGCATTTTTTGGTAAATTCTCCACCAGATTTTAGCAGCCACACGTAGACGGGATAATCCCGGGTGGTCATGGAAAACCAGCCCTAACGTGGTGCTGGAGCTGTAATCGGCTCAGCAGCTCAGGCTCCGGGGTGCAGGGTCTGGCAGGGCTGGGGCTCTGTCTGGCCCCACATTCCTGGGAGCAGGATGGCTGGGCAGGGATGGCAGGAGAGCTTTTCCCCTCCCTGCTCAACCCAGTTCCTGGTACTTGGAGGATTAGATCCAGCCCCACCACCCGCCCCCAGCCAATTCCTCTTTAAGAGGGGTTCCTTATGCTCCTCCTCACATCAGTGGTTGCTGTGTTGGCTTTTGGGAAGCTGGTGTGATCAGTGCCTGGTCAGTGATGGTTTGTTCTGGGATTGGTCTGGGAACTGTAGACTGTTTTGAGGGGCTCTGTTCAGAGTGCTCAGGTGACTTTGGCCCTTGTCCAGCTCCCACACAAATCCCTTGGATGTGATTCAAAATGGTGTTTCTTTTGTCCCTCTTGAAAACTAGGCCACAGCAAAGTCATGAAAAGGGGGGGGAGGGATTCTTCCCAAGAGAACTCCCTGCCTGGTGAGCAGGGCCAGAGGCAGTTCCCAGTGGGCTGAGAGCTCAGGGAGGTGCTGGGGCTGCACAGCACCCACGGGAAACCCCTCTGGGGCTGGAGGTGGGTTTGTCTTAGTGGATTTTTTTTTCCCAGGTCCTCTTGAATAGTGAGGGCTGCTCTTACTGAAGCTGGAGCAGGAGTTAGTTGTCCATTGTATAGCTGAAATGAGCCCTGGGTAGACAACAGCTTCTGCTGATGCACAATTTGCACCGTACGATCAGGACTGGTGGCACCTTTGTGGTCCAGTCATCATCTGCTGTGGAGTTGTTGGTGTGAGTGGAGGACACTGGGCTTCAAGAGCATGAAACCCTCTCTGTGCAGCTTTCAAAGCACTGATGAGCACCACGGAGGGATGCAGGGGAGCTGTCTAGCAGGAATGCTGAGCTGGGCACAGAGCCTGGTCCTGCCCTGGAGCTGCCACAGAGCCCTGGTGCCACCAGCCTGTGCCCTGTGCTCCAGGCCAGGAGCAGCCCAGCCTGGGGAGATGCCCGTGGCTGCCCCAGGAGTTCAGGCTCTTGCCTTTGCTGCAGCTCCCGGGCCTGGCTCTTGGTGGCAGGTTGGGAGGCTTTGTGCTCTGGAGTCCTCTGCACAGAGGGATTAATCCCTTAATTGGATTTGCAGTTGTTTTGGGTAGATGCTTCCTGCAGCAGCAGAGATGCAGATACAGATCCCACAAATGTCAAAGGTCATGGAGTTCAGTGTGTGACCAGGGGCCACCAGAGCTGGTGGTGCTTGTGGTGCCCAGTCTCCACTGGGGACCTGCCAGGGGTCCAGAAAAGCCCAACCTGAGCTGCTGGAGGTACTGGCCTGAGAGGGGTGACTTGATGTCCCCACAGTGAGGTCCACCTTCCCATGGAGACCCTCCCGTGTGTGGGAGCAGCAGTTATCTTGTTGCTTGATCCTTTTAAAATTGGACGTAACAATGCTCTTAATGCCTTGTGGGTCACAACTTTGTGCTGGTGGAAGGAGGGATTTCTGAGCCTGCATTTCCACTTCTGATTTGACAGAGAAATTGCTCCAGAAATTCAGGACTCAGGTCCAAGCTGCATCCTACCCTTAGGGAAGGAACCTGTAGGAATGGGCTTGCTAAAAGGTCAGAAACACAAGAAAAACCTTAAAAACTGCTGCCTGCCTCCGAAAGGGGCCACTCTGCCTTTGCTGCCTTTTCATTGCCTGCCATCCCCTGAGGAGAACAGGGTGCCCTGGCAGGAGGCTGCTCCTCACCAGCCTGTTTGGTACTTAAGGGTGGAGGGCGTTAACTGAGCATCTGCACAGCGCCCCTTGCCTGCCGGGGTTTCCAACTCGTAGCAGCTGGGTGTGATGTTTGGGATTCACTTTTGGTGCTGGTACCTCCCAGGGATGCAAACCTGCTGCTGAGCTCCCACAGGGCTGCTCGGACCTTAGGGAGGGGCAGAGGGGCCACATGAGTGTCCGTGGGCTGGTTTGTGCCAGTCACCGATGGTGCTGGAGCTTGGGGGATTTTAGGAAGGGGCACAGCGTGTGGCCAACCCGGGGTCCTGGAGGTGTGTCCTGCCTGGATCAGTTCCTGTGGGTCCAAGTTGGCTCCAGGCTGGTGGAGGGAGCTCTGTGCAGTCCTGTCCTCTGGAGCTAATTAATCCTGTACCACCACCAGAGTAGTTTGGTGCCTGGAACTCGCCGGTCTGTGCGTCGTGGTAATTAATGCTGATGCAGAGGGGTGGTTCTGAAGCACAGGGCGTCTGCTCTGTCCACAGTTAAAGTGTCAGTGGCAACTGTCCAGCCCGAGGGAGCCGGTTACCAGAGATGTGTTGTTGAACCTGCCCAAGGAACCTCTGCTTTTCTCTTTACTGTGTCTTTTTACCTTGTCTCTACCCTTTAAAATGTCTTCAGCTTTGCCAGGCTGGGTTAAAGCAGCAGCTGCTGACAGACCTGGTCATTGGCATGACAATGAGTTATTAATTTAACACCAACAAATCGGTACCATCCCCTGGGGCTGTGATCAGTGAAACCTTTTTGTGGAGGAACTGGTTGAATCAGAAAGGAGAAGGGTTTGTTTCCCCACACTGGTGTCCTTCCCACTGCACAAACAGGGATCTTCTCCCCCCACATTGTCTTGTGTGTGAATGCCAGAGCTGGAATCGAAGATGCTGTGTTGGTGTCAGGCTTGAGGCTCCAAAGTGTTTCTCCCAGGGTCTTGAGGGCTCCTTGGTGGCATGTGCTGTCTCTGTGCCTGGTGCAGGGACTTCCCAGCCCCTTCTCCTCCAGGCACCTGGTGCTGTCACATCTCCATGTGCCCAGGGAACTCGCTGGCTGGGCCACATCCCCTCCCTGGGTGAAGTGCTCACTTGGCATCAAAGGATTCAGCTAATGGCATTTCACCCACCATTGCAAAACAGATTATTTTTTCCCCCTGCTCTTTGGCTTCAGGAGCTCCCTTTGCCCTGTCACTGTCAGTTGCTTTTTCGTATTAATATTCATTTTCTGTCGGCTTGGTTCCTTCCCTTGGTGGCACCATTGCCCTCCCTGGTCTCCCTTAATAAAAAGCAACCAGGAGAAGTCCAGCAGAATGTCCAAGAGCCGAGGAGCCGAGTCCCTCTTGTTTCATCCTTTCACACTCTTTATTTGTGATCTGAATCTTCAAAGCAAGTAGCCTTGATGGAAAATAAGGCTGAAGGGGCAGCATCCTCCATCTCGCAGGAGCAGGGCACGATGCTGGTGAGATGCAAGTGCTGTTTGCTGGGCCAAGCACCCCTGGTGGCCGCGGGACAGGCTGGGTTGCTGCTTCAGCCCTTCGCAAGCATCAACACGTTCGGGCTCAGAGCAGTTTGGCTCCTTCGCCCATCCATTGTTTGGTATTTTTAGTAAAAACAGCTCGTATCGAGCTAGAGAAAAGGGGGTGGGGGAAATAATCCTTAGGCTCTGAAAAACTCAGAAGTGAAGTGTGAGGGTTCCTATGGCTCTGCCTTCTGGAGGGGCAGCTGGCTCGGGTGCCGGGCTGGCAGCGCCGGCAGCGATGGGAGGGATGTGGCACAACCTGTTTGCTTGTTCCTGGCTGGGTGCGGTAGGGAAGGGCCCACAATAGCCCCTATAGTTCTCCCAGAACGATACTGTGAGTCAGCCAGCCGTAAATAGCAGCTCCTCCTCGCCCCTTTGTGCTCCGCACCCCGCAGCAAGGTGCGGGAGCCCGGCGGGGTGGCAGCTGAACCCCTCGCTCTGCCCTTCCCCAGCTTTATTTTTGCCTCGGGGCTGAGGTGAGACCCTGAAGGGTGAATTTCTTGCCCTGTAGGATGTGTTTTGGGCACGGCTGGCACGGTGCTCACACTCTGTGTACAGTTCTCAGCGTGACCCGGGCTCTCGCCCCACTCCCTGCCCGGCTGCGCAGGGGTAATTAAATAGTGTTTAATTCACAAATACCGCTGGGGCGTGATGCAAAACCAGCAGTGGTGTGGGCGGCTGTGGTGCTGGGGGGCTGGGCTGTGCTGTGCTGGGGGGCCGGCCCTGCCGGGGCTGTGCAGTATCTCCTGTCAGTGCAATGCCAGGGATCCTCTTCTGAGCCGGTGTCGGGAACTTTCCAGCATCAGTTTAACTTCTTCCACCCTGAATTAGTCTGAGTGGCTTGAGTGAAATAGATGGATTGGAACTAGATGACCGTGGGATGCCTTTGCCTGGGATGGGGAGCAGCTTGCAAAGCGGCAGATGTGCTGGGTGGGAAAGGTTTTGCACCACTGCCTGCTTTGATGTGGGGCTGAACCATCCTGTGCTCACACTGTGATAAGAGCTGGGAGGTGGAGAAAGTCTGAACGAAAAGATGGTTATCTCTGTCGTGGGAGAGACACCACGAGCCTCACTGGCTGCTGGGAACTGTTTAATTCCTTGGGTAAGGAACCTGGTGGGGACTGTGACTGGATTTGACTCCACTCTGGTGAGACCCCCTCCCCTTGCAGTCTGGACCCCCAGCACCAGACAAGGAGTCCAGAGAAGGCCATGAGGGAGGTGCTGGAGCTGCTCTGCTCTAGAGACAAGCTGAGAGGGTTGTGTTTGTTCAGCCTGGAAGGCTTCAGGGAGACCTTAAAGCACCTTCCAGTACCTCAAGGATCTACAGAAAAGCTGGGAAAGAACTTTTGACAAGGGCAGCAAGGAGTAGGACAAGGGGTGATGGCTTTAAACTGGAAAAGGGGAGGTTTAGGTTGGATATTGGGAAGAAATTCTTTCCTGTGAGGGTGGGGAGACCCTGGCCCAGGTTGCCCAGGGAAGCTGTGGCTGCCCCATCCCTGGCAGTGTTGAAGGGCAGGTTGGATGGGGCTTGGAGCAACCTGGGCCAGTGGGAGGGGTCCCTGCCCATGCAGGGGGTTGGATCTAGATGATCTTTAAGGCCCCTTTCAACCCAACCCAGTCTGGGATTCTATGATATGGAGATAATTTCCAAGTACCCTGGTCCCTGCTCTCTGGGAGTCTGGCAGCTCAGCAGTGGCCAGTGAGCCCTCGGTCAGCCCAGCACTGGCTTTCTCAGCCAGGGTTTCCACTCCAGCCAAACAGGAAGTGAAAGGGAGAGGGGGTGGTGTGAGCTCTGGAAGGAACGAGCCGCCCTGCACTGCTGTCCTCTTGGAAAAGCTGTCACGTCATTGCCTCCTTGCAGTGGGAATTTGTGCACTTCCCATGATTGAGCCGTGGCAGCCTGACCGGAGAGCAACTTCCTGGCGGTCTCCTGGGGGTGACCCCTTGCCCGGGGGGTGGGTTCATCCGTGAGCTCTTCACCACAGACCTGAGGAACTGCTGGAGCGGCGGGAGCTGCTCCCCCTGGCTCAGCACCTCGTGGAGGGGCTGTAACAGTCCCAGCTGTCTCAGTGGCCACGGATGTCTTGGCACATGGGATGGTTTGTGCTGGGCTGCTCTCTCCAGGTGCTGAGCAGGCGGACACGGGGGGTGGTGGCACTGGTGCTGGCTGAGCACCCACTGGTGCCACGGCTGGTTCTGTGGCTGCATCAACCCAATGCCCCTCAAGGACAAAAAGGGGCTGGATGTTAATGTTTGTGGAAGGTTTTGAGACACGGTGTATGGGACAAAGTACAAATTGCTTCACTTCCTAGAGCAAAGGAACGTCAGGCCAGGTCATTCCCACTTGGCTGGTGGTGGTGACACTGGGCTGGAGTGTGACCCATGTGCCAGGGTGGGCTGAGCCTGGCCCCGCACACACCATCTGCTTTGTGCCCAGGGGGTCCCACGGTGTCCATTGCATCAGGGGGACACTGATTTGGCACATCTTGGTCTCACTTTGCTGAGATTTGACTCCATGTGCAGAGGAGGCAGGATGGACCTTGCAGAGAACTAGCATTTTCACTCTCTAAATACACCCAGAGCTCGGGTGTTGCTGCCAGGGTCAGGCTCTGGCTGGGGCAGGACAGGAGGCAGCAGCCAGGACACCTCCAGGGCTGGTGTCTCCTGCCCATTACATTTCCCACTGCTGGGGTTGCTGTTCTGTCCTTTAAAAAACAATGTGTGTTTTTATGGGCTGTATGTTTGGAGCTCTGAGTTACCCCAGGCACTGCTCTGCATTTTCTGGGGTGGGATGAGGGATCCTGCTTCCCTTGGAGAGCCCCAGTGGGTGTCAGGGGCTCCCAGCCACCGGCTGTGGAACTGAGACCAGGGTAGCTCAGAGACATAGCTCATGGCTTTGGGCTTGCAAACAGCTCTGTGAAGGCTGGAAACCTCCTGGGAAGCTGTGAACTGCTGTGCTGGAAGTCAGAGCTTCCTAACTCAGCCCTTAGGAAGAGCTGAGGGGCTGGGCTGTCCCGGGCACTTGCTCTGATCCCGGGTCGGGCTCTCAGTGGAGCGGAAGCGCTGGCTCCTGGCCCGCAAGACATTCTTGCAGCTCCCGTGTGTGTCCGGCTCCAGCACGTTGGGGCTTCTGCTGAGGCAGGACACAGCCCTTCCTCCCAGGAAAAGCTTGGTGGGTGTGTGGCTTGGGGAATTCTGCCTTTGAAAAGAAAAATGAGAGGAAGAGACAAAGCAGAGCTGGGATCCCACAGCCGTTGGGACTGAGCTGTGGTGCTGGCAGCAGCCCCAGGCCATGGCTCAGCTGCCACAGCTGAACAGGTCCAGTGGTTTTGGGGCAAATATCAACCTAGGGATTAGCTCCATGCCCTGTGACCTGAACTGAGTGCCAAGGCTGTGAATCCACTGTCGGGGAGGTGATCTGTGCCTGGCTTTGGGCTGTGCATGCAGCAGGGAGAACATCAGGCAAAGCTACTGGCTGTAACCATGCTGGTTAAATTCCCACCTCAGTTATTAGTGCAGCAGCTTGTGTCTCCACCTGCTTCCTTCATTATCTGGGCAGTTGGGTTGTATGCTTTGGTCTAAGTGTCTCAGATGAACACCTCACCTACAGCTCCCTGAAGATGGGCACCAGGGGTGCCCCAGGAGCACCTGAGGGTCTGGATGTGGATCCCTCTCTGACAGCAGGGTGCTGCCTGCCCCTGCCCCAGGGTGTCCCCCCAAGCTCAGCACCTCAAGCCCTCTCCCCACATCCTGTCTTTGCAGGAGATGTGCTCTTCCAGATGGCAGAAGTCCACAGGCAGATCCAGAACCAGCTGGAGGAGATGGTGAGTGTCTGTCCGTGTTCCAGCCAAGAAAATAGTTTTCTGTGTTCTGTCTGGGTGACACCAGCCCCTCTGAAGTGGATCTGCAAAGGGTCTGGTCTGCTTGGGCATCTGCTTCTGCCTCACTGGGTCCCTCTCTGAGTGTCTGTCCTCCACTGCTGTCAGCCTCTGCTCTGTCTGCCCAGCTCCTGCCTGCCCTGGTGCTCCTGGGGCAGGGTTTGCCAGCTCTTGCCAAGAACCGTGTCCTCTCTTTCTGCCTGCAGCTCAAGTCCTTCCACAATGAGCTCCTGACGCAGCTGGAGCAGAAGGTGGAGCTGGACTCTCGGTACCTGAGTGTGAGTTTCAGACCCCACTGTCCAGCAGCTCAAGTGTTGGCTTGGGCATCTCCATGTCTCCTGTCCCTGCTGCCCACTTCCCCTCTTGTCCCCTGCTCCCTGCTTGGGAACAGTTGTGCCCATGTCCCTGGTAACAGATGAGTCCCTGGCTGCCCCACATGTCACCAAGCACAGAACAATGTTTTCCCCAATGTCAGGCTATTGCCACCCCCGTTTGCTCTCCAGGCTGTGGGGATCCTGCTGCTCCCAGAATCTGGGGGGGGTCTGTTTGCTTCTGCCAACCCTCAGCAGCAGGAACCGGGGTTCAGCTGCTCAGGGCTTTCTCCTGTCACATCCAGGCTGCGCTGAAAAAATACCAGACAGAGCAAAGGAGCAAGGGGGACTCACTTGACAAGTGCCAGGCAGAGCTGAAGAAACTTCGGAAGAAGAGCCAAGGCAGCAAAAACCCCCAGAAATACTCTGACAAGGAGCTGCAGGTAGGACCCTGGGCCAGGGCTGCGTCTTGTCCCGGTGCAGGGCAGGGGGTGACCCCCCTCGCGCAGGTGTTTGGATCAGGGCTGGTGCTGTTCTGAGAACGGGCACAGCAGTGGGGGGGGTGGGAGGTGTGGATAGGGAGGGGGTGCAGCCCGTGACGGGCGTGGGATGGTCTCGTGGCCACCCCGGGGGAGGAGGGTGCGGAGGGGGTGGGTGCCGGCCCCGCGGGCAGGTGCTGTGCCCACCCCCCCACCCTGTTGTGCCAGATCCCCCGGCCTGGGGACGGTGTTTTGCTTCAGTGTTTGCGGTTCCGGGCGCGCTGAGGGGTCCCTGCCAGTTTGCGCCCTGGGCTGGGCACATCTCGGGGGTCGGGGGGGCAGCATCTCGCTGAGGAGCACCCAGCACACACCTCCCCGTGACCTGCGGGTCCAGCTCCACCTGGAGCCTGGCTGAATGTGGCAGATTTTACCAAGGGGTTGATGCAGCCACCTGAAACCTGCAGTGGAAGGCCTTGAGTGACGCTGCCAGACCCCTGTGGCATGAGGAGCACCTTGAAAAGGGGAATCATAAAATGCCAGGTCGGAAGGAACCTCAAGGATCATAGAGTCATAAGGTCCCCCTGGAGTTTCTTCTTCAGGCTGAACAACCCCAACTTCCTCAGCCTGTCTTCATAAGAGGGGTGCTCCAGTCCTCTGATCACTTTTGTTGCCCACCTCTGGACACACTCCAACAGGTTCACATCCTTCTTGTGCTGGGGGCTCCAGAGCTGGATGCAGTACCCCAGGTGAGGTCTCACCGGAGCTGGGTAGAGGGGCAGAATCACCTCTCTTGATCTGCTGGCCACACTTCTCTTGATGCTGCTCAGGATGCTGTTTGCCTTCTGAGATTCAGCTGCACATTGGTGGCTCATGTCCATTTTTTAATCATCTAGTCCAACCTGATTAATAGAATTACTAAATGGTTTGGGTTGGAGGGACCTTAAAGATCATCTAGATCTGCATAGGCAGGGACACCTCCCACCAGCCCAGGTTGCTCCAAGCCCCTCGAATGCTTCCAGGGACAGAGCAGCCACAGCTTTCCGGGGCAACCTGGAAACCAGGGTCTCACCACCCTCACAGTGAAGAATTTTTTCCCAATTTCCAACCTAAATCTCCCCTTTTCTAGTTTAAAGGCATTTCCCTTTGTCCTATTGCTCACTGCCCTTGTAAAAAGAAGATGAACCCTGAAGCCAGAAGTGACCTAGTCATGTCTCTGAGGCTTGAGAGTGTGTGATGCTGTGACCAAGGTCTGTTACTGTCAGTGCCACAGACTGGTGACATGTCAGTGATCTGTGTCTGCTGAGGGGATCCGAGCACTGGTGGCACTTCCCTCCCTGGGGCTGTGCACAGGGCAGCACTTCACCTGCTCTGCTCGGGAACTGGCATTCTTAATTGCACTAGAATTTGGGAAATCGGTCGTTCTGGGTGGTGTGAATCAGAGTGAGCTCTGAAGGAGGAAAATGTGCCCACAGCCACCCACGGCACCGAGCTGGGGGCTGGAGGCAGGACCGGCTGGAGCGTGGTGGGTGGGTGGGATGGAGGGGTGGGTGGGATGGAGCAGACCCGGGGCCCTGCCCACCGCGGGGGGGCTGGTGTGTTCCTGGGAGCTGAGCTCCATGTGGGGAACCTCAGGGATCAAGCCTTTGTTGTCCCCCACCTGCTGAAGCTGCTGACAGAAACAACAGGGCAAAACCCCCGCAGAGCTGTGCCTCTCCTGCCAGGCATCCCAGGGAGCCCCATCCCACAACTGGCATTGGGGAAAATCCTTCCCAGTGATCAGTTCTACACAGCCGGGAGGGGAGAAGTGGTGGGACCCTCCTGCCTTGGTGGGATGGGGCAGCCCTGGCAGTGGCTGCTTGAGGCAGGGAAGCAGGATCAGGCTTTCCTTCCCTTAATCTTTCAGCAGTAAGTATTCAGGAAGCGCTTATCTCTGGAAAAGCCTTCTGGTGGCTTTTGAGCTTAGAGAGCCATGAGACTGCTCAGCTGCTTGCTGTGTCCCTGCCCAAAACACAAAGTTAAATTGCTGAATTCAGCCGAGGCAGCAGTTTTTCCCTCTTTTCCCAGCTGGCTGTGATGCTGGTATTCCCTCTCAACAGACAAAGAGGGCATTTTGGGGCACCCTTCATTCTGCTCTTGCTCTTGCCTGGACATTGTAGATTGGGGATGGGGATTGCTGCAAGGGTGGGTCCAGCTTGGAGCCAGTGTTGGAACTGGGCTTAGGGAACCAGGAGCATCTGCAGAGCTGCTGGTGCTGTGTTGTCAGGCTTTGCTCCACAGAAATCTTTCTCATCTGGCTCCAGAGCCACTCTGTGGGCCCAGGGGAGCTGCTGCCTGTGGTCGGGGTTGTTCAGCTGGCCCAGAGCCACCCCTGTGGCTGGCTTGTAAAACCCTCTGAGGAGGCTGCTGAAGGCACCTCATGGTGCTTATGGGAAGCTGAAGACTTCATCAGCCCAATGCCTGGGGACCACAGCCCCAGCAGACAACAAGTGGCTGGAGCTCTTCCTTCCAATCTTGTGGATTCCTTGTCTCGACGTGGGAGAAACTGCTGTTGTTGGGAATGTCCTGGTAGCTGCCTCAGTCACCTTCAGTGAAGCAATAATCTTACCCTCGAAGACACTTAAGCTACTGGAGCAGTCAGCAGTCTGATGCTCTGTCATCATCTCTTCATATTTAATGCTACAGGAAGCAGAACTCCTTTCTGCCTTTTCACCACTTGTTGAGTGGCCGCATCTTGTCGTCGCCTGCGCGAGGTGGGTGGGTGGGAGGGAGGCACTGCTGCCCTCCCGGGAGCTCCGGGGCCTGCTTGCTGGAACATTGTCTCTCTGCTGAGGTGAGAGGAGAATTGGGGCTGCTCAGACTCTGCTGGGTGGCAGAGGACAGCCCTCACCTGGCCCAAGGTACTGGTGTGGCTTGAGGTCTGTGCTCTGCTAGCTGGATCAGAAAGCCTGATGTAAGAGCCCAACCATCACCTGTTACTCTTGAATTCACATTTTCCCTCTTTATAAAGCAGAAGTAAATGCAGATATTCAGCAGGGGCTGCACAGAACTAATTATCTTGTGGCTGGTGAGCAGCAGCTTTGTGAAGATGGAGCTTGAGGAGGTCTGCTCAGGATGAGGCAGCAGTAGAACGCTCAGGGACACTTGCAGGAGTCTTCTGAGCTCCAGCCACACGGTGCATGGTGAGAGCTAATCTAGGGTTGTCTGCAACTCCCACATTATCTGGCTCCTGTCTCTTGTGGAGTTTAGCAGCAGAGGGTGGGTGTCACAGGTCAAGGATTTAAAACACCTCGTGGTTTGCAGCAAGGGCGACTCGTGTAGCTTCAAAGCAGCTCCAAGTGCAATTAGGCTACAGGAGTGATGTGCCATCTCCAGAGCTTTGTCTGTTATGGTCAAGAGAGCTGTTGGAGTTGTGGGTTGTTGCTCCTGAGTGTCGCAATAAAGCCAGGCTTTTTATTCCTTATGAATCAGTCCAAAGCTTTTGTTACCCACGAGGAGCAAGAGCTGAGACAGCCAACTGCCTCCACCACCTCCTCTTACTTGTGTAGGTACTGAGGTATTTTTTTGATCTGTGCTGAAAACCAGGAGAATAAAAGTGAATTCCATTCACTTCATGTCTTTTACGAAGAAGAATGAAAACAATGTTAAGATTAAACAGTCACCAAGGAAGCTAATCTGGTAATTTCATTAAATGCTGGTTATGATCAGGCCATGAAATCAAGGTCGCGATGGGTTTAGGACCTTGATTGAATCAGGAGCTCAGCAATAGAATTAGGTTGGTTCCATCTATTTATCAAATCACTGCAACAGCTGGCAATTGGATTTCTCCATCAGACTGAGCTGATGCAGACTGTAATTCACACTAAAAAGTGAGGCTGGATCCAGCTCTTGGCCTGAGCTGGGGTGCTGGGCTGTGGAGCTCAGCTCCTGCCCAGGGGTGTTGTTGTGGCCACCCCTAAACCTGCTCCTGTGGGAATATTTTAAGTAATAAATACTAGTGTGCCAAAAAAAGGGGATGATAAACTTTTGTAATTGAGACCTCATTTCAATAATTCCCATTGGGAGAAATAATTTTAGGTATAGGTCGAGAAGCTCCATCTGAGGAGGAGTTTGCACAAACCAGGTTACAAGGGCTTATGTGAAAGTCAAGTAGAGAAGAATTATGTAAAAGCCCCGTGGCTGCAGGTGACTTTCTCCAGGTTTTGTTGTGCTTTAAGCAGAGTCAGGCTGGGTGTTGGAACCCAGGAGATGTGCCTGGGAAATACTGGGGGGGGAAATGCCTCAGGTCTGGGGCTGAGCTGCTGCAGCTGGGGCAGTGTCCTTGTTCTCCTTGCCATCCCACTGGGGAAGGACCAACCAGAGCCTTCTTGTGGCTCTGTGGTGTTATCTGCTGGTGTATTGGGACCTCAGTGTAAAGCTCATCCTTGTGGTATTTTTTTTTTTTCTGTTTACTCTATGATTAGCTTTGAACTCATGTGCTGGTGATGTTAGTCCCTCTCACCATGGGGCTGTAGCCCCCTGAGTGTGTGAGGAGGCTCTGGGTGCTGATGGGCTTCCAGCACCCATCAGCCTGGAGCCTCTTAAGTCCTGACAAGGTGCTACAAGAGCCACATGCTGAAGCAGCTTTTTCAGACCTTGTGGTCTGTGAGTGTTTAGGAAAGAGACAGCAGCAGAAGGAAGGAAATCAGTCTCCATACCCTCCTGCCAGGGGCTGGGTGGGTTTGCTGGGCTGCTGTGGCAGCACCCCTTCCAGCCCAGGGGAGCTACAGGCACAGAGCCTGGTGTTCTCAAGCCTGCTCTACAAACCTAGAAGCAGCTGGTACAAGCCTTAAACTTGCTTTTCTCTGGGCTGAGATGCCTCAAATTACTCTTTAGGAAAGCTGGTCTCCTGGTCCCCTGCCTGTGGAGGTCAGGGCTGTGGTGGAGGAGCATCTTGGTACCAAACCTTGTGTGTGGAGGTGTTGACTGGGGCAGTCCCTGCACCGAGGGAAGGTTTCAAGCAGCTGATGGTGAAGCCCCCGCACAGCCAGCTGGAGAACACGCTTCCCTGCTGCTTCTCCCTGGGAATTTTATGTAATATCACATGCGTGGATGGTGCTTCACAGGAGCAGCGAGAGGATGAGGCTGATGCTCCACTGAGCAGATGTGTGAGACAGGCACTGTAAGGAGGGGAGACAGCCCTTCTCAGGGGGGGAAGGCAGGCGGGTGTCTGTGGAGCCAGGCACAGCTCAGGGTGTGTTTCCTGGGATCTGCTCTGCCTGTTATTCCACCTCCAACCATCAGAACAGCAGAGCTCCCAGCATCCTGGGGAGGGCTTGGGCATGGGGTGGTGGAGCCTTGGGGGCAGCACAGGGGGTGACACTAAAAGACCTTCCCCAGCTGAGCTGTAGATACTTGTGCTCCAGAACCCACCAGCTTCCATGCAGGGAGCAAATTCTGGGACTGAAGAAAAGTCCTTTCCTTCCCCAGGAGCTGTCAGGGCTGAGCATCCCCAGCTCCTTGTTTTCTGTAGTTGGGCTCTGGGGTTTCAGCTGGGACTCCTTGAGACCATTCAACAGCTTAGATGCTCTTCCTCTGCTAATCAGCCTAACTTCTTTCTTATTTTACCCTGTTACTTTCTGATTATTCTCCCTAGTGGTACCCTAAATACATCCTCCTTTCTCATGGTGTTTACCCCTTCCAGGTATTCCAGCCTGGCACAGCCCTCAGAATCCTCTCCTTTCCTCTCTTTTTCCCACTACTCTGTGCTGAGCATCCTGTCTGGTCCCTCCCTGGGATGAGATCCCAAGTGTTTGGAGCCAGCAGGGATGCATGGTCTCTCCTGGCAACTCTCCTGGTGCCAGCTAGAAGCATGGCCACCAAGCCCTCCCCTGTGGCATTCCTTTCTGCTCTCAGAGATCCTTGCTGTGACCACCATGGTGAGCTGGTGGCCCCAAAGAACAGCCTGGCTCTGCCTGCTCTTGGTCCCTCTTGTCTCCAGGACCAGTCCTTTGCTGGGCCTGTGGTGCTGGCAGGGGCAGGCCCACCTAGTGCCCAGTACAGATCTGTAATGATGGTTTCTGTCATGATGCTCAGTGTGGTAGTGACTGGCATTGCCCTTGGCTCATTTGTTTTTTCCTGGCTTGGATAGAATGGTTTGAGCTCATTTTCCCTGGTAAGGATGGGTGGTTGTTAAAGGCTTGGCTGAGGTCTGGTAGTGATGTTGCTGTTTCTCCTGCACTACCTACACTGACAGCAGCTTGTGTTTGAAAAGCGCTCAGGTCCTGACATTAGTTGGGTGCTTTTTCATCTATTTCTTGGGTGCTTTTTCATCTTCACAAATCTCTAGCTGTCTGCTTGGGGTGGCACAGGGAGGGTGGTGCAGGAAGCAGGGCCTTTTTGTGCCCTGGCTTTTCTGTGCCAGGGATGACAGCAGCTGTTAGAGCTGGGGACTGAGCAGCACCTTGTTTCATCTTGTATATTTCCTGGGTCCTAACTTACTGTCAGACCCGTTGGGGGTAACATGGTCTGGCTCCTGTTTGGAGGTTGCTCAGCTCTGTCTGGACCCCCCATGGCCCAGCTTTGCTCCGGCAGCGCAGGAGGCAGCAGGTCCCTGGCTGAGCTGGTAACACCGGGACCACCAGGACCAGGCTCCCTCTCCCTGGGATTGCAGCCTCCCTGGCTCAGGCAGGATCCCTCACTCTGCCCAGCCCAGAGCCAGGGCAGCATCTCCCCCCAGCTCCTCTCCCCGCTGCGCCCGGCGCCGCTGACACCGCTAATTAGGTCAGTGGCTGCTGGGGAGTTGGCAGCGGATGCGATGGGGAGGGGGGGAGGAAATGGGGGGAGTTATTTGAGGTTTCTCCAACCTAGAAACCCAGAAAAGCTTTCTGGAGCTGCTGGGTGGCTCCAGTGCCCGCTCCAGCTTCTTGGTGACCACCACGAGTGCCTCCCTGCCCAGCTCCCTGCCCCCTCAGGTGCTCAGGTCAAGACCAGTTTGTTTTGTTGTGTTGGTTTTTTTTTTCCTAGTTTAAACTGGGTGTTTCATTTAGATTATGCTTTAAATCTGAATTTGAAGCTGACAGCCTAAATCAAGGTCTGAGTTTAAAATGCAGCACTCGGGCAGTGCATGTTTGTGGGTGAGGTCTTGGTTGGGGCTGCCAAGGTTGGTGTGGAGGCACCTGCCCCTGGTGCCAGTTGTCAGGGCATGGCAAGGTGAGAAATGCGTTTGGCTGGGGCTCAAAATGTGGGATGGCTGCAGGATCCTCTTATCCCTGGGGAGAGGAGGTGTGAGCAGCAGCCAGGAGCCCAACAGGCACCTGACCATGGGTAAAGCCCTGCACGGTGATTAAAGCCAGTGCTTCTCCTTGGCGTGCAGCAGGGAGAGCTTGTCATGCTTTGCCTGCTATTTTTTTCCTGCACATCTGGTGTATCTAGCAAGGGGTTTATTTAAATTGTCTTTCTATGCGTTCTTTGAAAGCCTATTGTCATTTTGAGTAGATCCAAAATGAAAAGTGTCTAGTGAGCAGGACGTGTCGCTCGCCATTTTGTAATGTAATAAAGTGTGAAAAAATCAAGGCTCTGAATAAATCAATGGCACATCAGGCATATTTACATAAAGTATATAAAGGGGTGAGAATACTAAATCTGAAGCGTAGGCTCTCTGCTCGTGGATTGACATGTTCTAACTGGCTGCAGCCATTAAGAGGAGCCTTTCTTTACTAAAATAATTAAAAGTATACTTGCAAAACAAGGTTGAAATCAGGGATGTAAATAAGGCCTTAAGTCACGTAGTTAAGTCACGATTAAAACTAAAAAAGACACCTTAACATCACTAAAATAAGGGGGAGTTTCCCCCATGGTGCAGTGTTTGGGGCTGACTCCTGCCCGGGAGCATGGCTGTGTCTGATCCAGGGTTCAGTTGTACTGGGAAACCAGGATCACAGTGGGATGGTCCTTGTGCTGCTGCACTGGATCAGCCAGGGTTGGACTCGTTTCACTCCTCACCTTCTCCTTCTCTGTGGCCCAGTTAGTAAATTAGCAGGTTAGGTTTAGGGTGTTGAGGTTGGCACTTGCTCCTGTGGATGCTGTGATGGTTGTGGTTCCTTCCTGGAAGGGGGCTCTGCAGGAGCATCATCCCACTGCTTCCCCTGGGAGAGAAGGGAGGGAAATTTTCTTTTTGGGAGCTGCCTGTGGACCAGGGCTGTGGTGACATTGGGGCTCGCTCTGTCCTGGGTGTAGCAGGGCTGGGATGGAGGGGTAGGTGGGGGAGTCAAGGGCTCTCCTTCCCTCCCATCTCCCTGTCCCTGCTGCCAAGGCACTGGGTGGCTCTCCCTGTGCCCTTCCCTGTATCCCACCAGCCCTGCTCCAGCTCAGCTCTCCCTCCCTGGGGGGTGATGCAAACACCTTTATTTCTGCTTCTCCACCCGGCAGCATCAGCTCAGTTACCTTCTTTTATTTCTGTTCCTAAACAAAGGTGTTTGCACTGGATTTTTCTCATTTGGGGAAGAATATTCCCCTTGGATCAGGGTTGCTGGTTGCAAACAGTTTCTCACTGGCCACCTTTCCCTCACCTGTACTGGAGGTTGGGGGGAGACCCAAAACCTGCTGTGTCCAGCCTGAGCTCCCTGCAGGTTTTGCTCCTGAGGGAGGATGTTCTGAGGCAGGGGAGATCCAGCTCTGGAATAAGCCCCTTTGGAGTCAGGGATCTCACTTAGTCTTGCTGCTCTGCTGAGGTTTGTTCCATTTTATTTGCCTGCTAATAAATATTGTAGCATGCTAAAAATAACTGTTAAACATGAAGAAAAGGAGTAAAGCTGCTTTGGGCCTTGAATTTCCAGTTGAATTCCCTTCTGGGGGAAGCTCAGGCTTTCTGAAGCAGGTTTAGCAGTGCCCGGCTGCTCGGGGCTTGGCAGGCTGGTGCTGCAGGGCAGGAGAGCTGCTCCTCCGGTGCCACAGGGAGGGCTGGAAGCTCCTTGCAGAGGAGCTGGGGACATCCCAGGGGCATCGGGGGAGGAGAAGGCGGCTGGCTGGGGCAGCCGGGGCCGCCCCACGGGGAGACAGCGCCGCTGTTGAGCCCGGGCTGGGTTTGGCGGCGGTTTGTGCTCCGTGGTGGGGATGAGCAAGGGGCTGCGGGGGCCGTCGGGGCAGCCTCCGCTGCCATCGCCCC